CCCCCACACACACACACCTGCAGCCTGGAGCTAACATATCCTCACTTCTCTGGCCCCTCATCAGACACACAACCGCACCAGACAGACAATGTTCTTGTTGTTTGTGTTGTTTACAATCTTAGTGAAAGTGTGGGCATGACTGTCACCAGGGCAGGGTTCAGGAAGGGGGGGGGGTAGAGCTAGAGTTAGGTAAGGGGCCCCATCAGCGTTATTTTGAGTCATCAAAATAAAAATGATAATATGTGCACATATAGAATATTTTTATTAGCTTTAATGTTACATTTAAATCGTAAAAAACAGAAAAAACTCYCAGTTTATCATTTTAAACAATGTTCTAACTCTGACATCTGTAATTAAAGGAGCATTAAATGCAGATATGCGAATCGATTACAACCAGATTTGACCGCATTTAGCCATTTTTGTGTTATAAGTTCAGCTGGTTTCAGCACCATTTTAAACCAGGGTAGCTTTAAAAGTGAATTAGTTTTTATTTCCTGGATTTTTCAATCAAATCAAAGCAGTTCGTGTGGTATTTTACTAACACCAAATTGACACCAAACAGTTCATGGCAAAGTTTCAAATCAAGGCTTTGCACCATCTGGTCCTGCTCATTCTCAACTACAACCACATTAATTGTTGGGTCAATACTTGCAAAAATTGTTTGTTTTTAATTAGGCTAATTTATTTTTTGTTTATGCAAAATAAATTGAAATAATTTTCTGTAAACAAGCATAAAAGAACAAAACTGCATCAGTGCTCTATAACTGGCTCAGAATCACAAACAGGTCATTTGATAATTGGGAAATGRGAACAATCTGAAGCAAAAACTAAAAACCTCTAAGCAGTTTTGACTTCAACAAACCAAAACCCATTCCGGCAAGGAGAGCTTAACTCATTGGAAATAAAAAAAAATCATTTAGAAAATATTCCTTTATTAAAACACAATATGCTAATAATTCTTGGGGTCTGTAAGAGACGGGGTCATTGTCTGAAGCCCTGTTGAAGCCTTTGTGAAGTCTGGTCTGTGTTTTGTGATGAGTTGTGTCTGAAGTGACTCCGTGTTGATGTGGTGTAACACCTGTGGTGAAAACAACAACATAAAAAGATAATATTTAAATCCAGACTACAACACATTTCCTTGTTGCTGTTGGTGCAGAGCAGAGATGAATGAGGACACGTCTCATACAGGACAGAGTGTCCAGCTCATTGAGAGATGACCTGGAAGCTGCAGGGACAGACTGACAGCTGTTCACAGCTCACACGTTGGGTTGGATTTTTTAAGCTGCCTTTTCAAAAAAAAAAACACACTTGTTTCATTTTAATCAATTAAACTGAGTCGGAAAATATACATTTGTTGCTACATAAGTTACACACACATTAGGTTACATAATCTTAAGCAGGGTTCTGCAAAMTGTGGCTCCAGGGCCACATGTGGCTCTTTTGTCCCTCTGTAGCAACTCTTTGTAGCTTTGACCAAAAATTATAATGGAAATAAATCTTTTAACATTCATAACCACAACAGAAAGTCTAGTTTTAGCTATATTCCTGCCTTTTTATGTGTAAATACATGAATAGAAACCTGTTGATCAATTCATGCTAGAAGTTTGTTAGCCTGTTAGCTCAGTCCAACTTCCAGATGCACAGAGTGATCTTTGTCAGAAATCCAGCTGAAAACTGGAAGGATTTTCAAGACTTTAAATGCAAATTGTGGAAAATATTAAAAGAAAAAGGAGGTTTGAARCATTCACACATTACAATTTACAGAAATGAAAATTTCTGCAAAACACAATGACACATTTAATGACAAGCAGTGTTACAAAGAAAAGCTTGATCAAAATGAGGGTCTCTGTTTTTTTTTTCATTCAGCAAGTCACAATAAAATACAACATTCAGCAAACTGACCTAAGCTTCATGCTCAGTTTCATTTATTATTTTTGTGATGTAGTTATTAGTTGTTCATGAATATAGGAAGGATTCACATAATCTGCATAGTTTGATGTTTAGTTTTAATCATCATAAACTAAAATATTTTCATGAATATGGTCTTTTCTTTTGTCATAATGGAAAAATACCAATTTATTTGAGGGCTTTAATTAAACAATTTCTGCACAGACCAAATGTTTGGACACACCTTCAAAGAGTTCTCTTTATTTTCGTGACTATGAAAATTGTAGATTCACATTGAAGGCATCAAAACTATGAATTAACACATGTGGAATTATATACTTAACAAAAAAGTGTGAAACAACTGAAAATATGTCTTATATTCTAGATTCTTCAAAGTTACCACCTTTTGCTTTGATTACTGCTTCACACACTCTTGGCATTCTCTTGATGAACTTCAAGAGTTAGTCTCCTGAAATGGTCTTCAATAGTCTTGAAGGAGTTCCCAGAGATGCTTAGCACTTGTTGGCTCTTTTGCTGTGACTCTGCGGTCCAGCTCACCCCAAACCATCTGGATTGGGTTCGGGTCCGGTGACTGTGGAGGCCAGGTCAACTGGCGCAGCACCCCATCACTCTCCTTCTTGGTCAGATAGSSCTTACACAGCCTGGAGGTGTGTTTGGGGTCATTGTTCTGTTGAAAAATAAATGATGGTCCAACTAAACGCAAACCAGAGGGAATAGCATGCTGCTGCAAGATGCTGTGGTAACCATGCTGGTTCAGTATGCCTTCAGTTTTAAATGCATCCCAAACAGTGTCACCAGCAAAGYACCCCCACACCATCACACCTCCTCCTCCATGCTTCACGGTGGGAACCAGGCATGTAGAGTCCATCCATTCACCTTTCTGCGTCGCACAAAGACATGGTGGTTGGAACCAAAGATCTCAAATTTGGACTCATCAGACCAAAGCACAGATTTCCACTGGTCTAATGTCCATTCCTTGTGTTCTTTAGCTCAAACATGTCTCTTCTGCTTGTTGCCTGTCCTTAGCAGTGGTTTCACACAGTCTCCTCTTAACAGTTGTTCTAGAGATGTGTCTGCTGCTAGAACTCTGTGTGGCATTGACCTGTTCTCTAATCTGAGCTGCTGTTAACCTGCCATTTCTGAGGCTGGCGACTCGGATAAACTTATCGTCCGCAGCAGAGGTGACTCTTGGTCTTCCTTTCCTGGGGCGGTCCTCAGGTGAGCCAGTTTCTTTGCAGTGCTTGAGGGGTTTTGCGACTGCACTTGGGGACACTTTCAAAGTTTTCCCCATTTTTCGGACTGACTGACCTTCATTTCTTAAAGTAATGATGGCCACTCATTTTTTTATTTAGCTGCTTTTTTCTTGCCATAATACAAATTCGAACAGTCTTTTCAGTAGGACTATCAGCTGTGTACTGTATCCACCTTCTGCACAACACATGGTCCCATTTATAAGGCAAGAAGCCCCACTTATTAAACCTGACAGGGCACACCTGTGAAGTGAAAACCATTTCAGGTGACTACCTCTTGAAGTTCATCAAGAGAATGCCAAGTGTGTGTGAGAAGCAGTAATCAAAGCAAAATGTGGCTTCTTTGACAAACCTAGAATACAAGACATGTTTTCAGTTGTTTCACACTTTTTTGTTAAGTATATAATGCCACATGTGTTAATTCATAGTTTTGATGCCATCAGTGTGAATCTACAATTTTCATAGTCATGAAAATAAAGAAAACTCTTTGAATCAGACGGTGTGTCCAAGTATTTGCTTTGTACTGTATATTTAATGAGTTCGTTTTTGATTGTAAACTTATGCTGAATGGGTCACCGTCCACCTTTGAACATGACCCCACAGGAAGCTGCAGGCTGCCAGATTTATATTTTAGTACATTTTGTGGCTCCAAACAAGTTTTATTTATAAAAGTTTTATTTACACAAGTTTTATTTAGATAACAAGTGCTGCTTTATCATCAATTCAACATTTTTAAGCATCAGAAATGAGACTCTTTTGATAATAAAGGTTGTTGACCCCTGACTCAAAAGAAGATTTGAGAAGAAATCAACTGCAGACAGCTTGTTTCCTTAGTGTTAAATTACTGTGGCTTTTTTTATACATAAAAGTGATTTGTGTCGTCTAAACCCAGTGATAAAACATGCACGTGTCTCAAGTCTCAAAGTGCTTCTGGGTTTAATTCATTTTGCTGGAAGTGAATCAAATTTTTCTTCTCAACAGCTCTCTGAATTTCTGCAACTCAGCCGAGCACTCACTTACTGCCATCGATTTCAGTTTAAAGGATAAAGAGCCAATTTATACAAGTCGGCTGCAGCACTTCTCATGGCAATGTCTTTTTCTTTTCTTTTTTTGATGGGAGTTTCTTGGGTGTGGGCATAGATTTGGTAAGCTGTGATTGGTCAGCTTTGATTGGTTGGTTGAACTTGTGGGGGAAGTTAAAAGATGAAGTAATAATAACGGTAAAATTATTGTGAACATGTAAATATAATTTATTAACTGTCTATAATCTAAAACAGACCAATGTCCCAAATAAAAATTGCCAACATGTATAATTTATTGACTTCAAATTGGGTGCAATTCTTAAATTATGACTAATAATATTCATATTTAAAAYGCAGGAATCTTTTTCAAGGCAGKTTAGGGCTGTTTTGACTAAGCCGAGTTGTTACTCGTCCCTCCACATGTACAGTGTTCAAATTTCATGCAGCAACCTCCTGTCTCGAGTTATGACTGAAATTAAGCATCATAAAATTAGTATCTGAGCTGTTACACTTCTCCCCAGCTGCCTTTACCCAAACCACGCCCGCATGTCAATCCAACCAATCAAACTCTGCACATAACTCAATCCGACCAATCACAGTGAACACAGATCATGCCCTTGCCCAAGAAACTCCCACTCATTGACTGTAGAGACCCCCATTTTGGGTCTTTACTGGGCTTCGCTGATTTTAAT